GCAACTTAATAATCGTTCCTCAGCATGGGGTCATTTTTGAGTTGTTATCAAGTTGGCCAGTTGGTAAAGATAACAAAACCAGGAAGGTGTAGATTGTTGGATTTGATAAGTGTCTAAAATTGTACAAAAGCAGCATGTGTTTACATAATGAAATCGCTTATCACATTCGCGTTGATTTTGCCACTTCATGGGGGAGATACGGGTGGTGGTGTTGTAACCAGGTCAAATTCTGTTTCAGTCCATCATTCCTATTCAGCTCAGACAATTTGGATTCCATTTGATATGAAGTGCTTCTGATGATATCAGACGTTCTTTGTGATTTCTGAAATGCTTTTTCTGGATGATGATTTCATTATTGTCAAAATCAATTTTGTGGTCGGATTCTATAGCGTGTAGAGGAGCTATGGATGATGATTTTTCTTCAAACTTTTCTAGTTCAACTGGATTTCTCGGTGGTCGAACAGACACTCACTCACTCTACGGTGTTCATTTCTTCTGATTCTGAATTCTCTCTGGTGAGGTTTGTCCGATGTATACCGCATCACAATGCAAGCATTTCATTTTATAGACACAATTAGATAGAGAATCTTTAGGGATTTGGTCTTTTATATGGTTGCTTTGTAGTGTGTATGTCTGATGTTTTGAAGAAAACTCTGATGTCTGTCGAGCTTATTGAGTACTCTTCTGATATCGTCTGATGTCTCCGCTCTATATGAAATGACAACTGTTGAGGTGCATGTTTTCGGAATACGTTTTCGACCATCCTTAATGTCAGTGTTGATTTTGTTGATGAAGTTCGTTCGGTAGTTGTTTTGCTTGAGATTTTCTGTAATGCGTCATTCGTCTAGTCCTTTGTTCGATGCATACTTAGATCTGTTAGTCAAGTTTGCAGTGTAACGACCAAGATTCTAGGTGGCTCACCATCACTCTGAGATGTTGTTGTTATTAGATAGTTGGAGGCAACCGGAAGGTAGCCAAAGAACTAGGTTCCATGCTTGTTTAGCATTCACCAGTCAGCAAGGGACTTCTGTAACTTCTGAGATTAAAAACAGTGTCACCCAGTGGTGCCGTCAGAAAAGCTACCTAGGTTTTAAAGTTTCCTGCCGTTCACCTCCAACCATCTAATAACCGTGATGGCGAGTTACCTAGCATGTTGGCCACATCGGAAACTTAACTGATAGCATTCGATCTGCACTAAACAAAGGACTAGACACAAGATACTAGGTACTACCTAGTGTCTTATCAAAACATCCAATACAGTCCTACAGGAGGTCAGTCGCGAACCAGAATAGCTTAGTGGCAACGTTTCTGAATGCAGCATTCGGTGGCATGGGTTCAGATCTCAGATGGGACATGAGTTCCTTCAAGACTTCAGCTACGCCTTGCACGAAATATAGGTCGAAGGCTTTCTGCCAATTGCCTCCAACTATTTAATATCAACTGTTTAAATTAGGTTGTCTGGATCAGGTCAGACACTTATTATTGTGTGCGAGTGTTGATAATAGTACCTTGCTACCTAGGCTGAAGTAGATGGATTCAAACCAAGAGACCTACCAGCTGGAAGTTAACTACTTAAGTCAGTCAATGGCATCACTTCTCAGTACTAATACAACTTTATCAATACTAGTTTACTTTACTATTTGTACTTGGCAGATTAACAGTAATAGATTACTAAAATAAAAGTAATTTCCCCTAATTAATTACTTTGTTAATGATAATGATGAAAGGATTAGATGATCATGTGAGGTTATTTCACGTCATACCTTTGGTAAGCATTAAGATCTTATACGCTGTACTGACTGTCATTCAGTGACATCACCAAAATATAGAACCAGTTGTGGTGTTCAAAGTTCAACGAATCCAATTTTCGTATAACGGGCTAGGCACCAAAGCTACGGGGTGAGAAGGCTAATGATACTACCCAGGTGCTCATATTCAAGTAAGTGAGATAGGACTCGAACTCATGACCCAATCGTTGAAAACCTAGTTCTTAAGTCAACGAGTCCCATTTTTAGAGTAGTAGTAGTTCGATGAATAGTTTTAAAAATTCAATACAGACTGATAAGGCTGCCAATATCAATAGGTGAACGTCTGAGGTCACCAGAGGCTATAATAGTACTTTAAAAAGGTGACTTGGAAGAGTGTTGGAAAGTGATAAATGGGGAAACAAAAGATCATATTGAGAAATACAAAACACCAAAAGTAAACCCCTTTTTTATTAAGCTAATATGTCCATGATTTGGTGGTAGAATATTCGCCAAACACGTCTGTGATTCGCTTTCGATTCCCGAACTACGCACTACTCAACACTCACTTTTAGATGGCGGTAAACTTGGAAAAACAATGGAAGGTTCAGTGTCAGACTAGCAACCCCAACCCCGTAGAAAATAACACCACCTCTTTCAAAACTGCAAAGCTTGAAGCTCTATGTTCCAATCAGAACACAGGAAAGTTAAGCACACGGTGGAAAACAAAAGAAGAAGAAACATTGTGAAGCTGTGTAGATTTTAGTTTGAAACAATCAAACAGTTTATGCATAATTTTTTATCAATTTTGACTGCATTTGTGAAGTTGGTGGTGTTGTCGAAAATTTTTTACTTGAAAATAGATCCAAATAATCAACAATCAAAATGAAGCATAAAACAGGTATTTTGGTTGGCAGAATTTCTCTGAATCGGATGATTTAATTGTAAGGGACTCATTGACCTTATACGAAAACTCAAACCACCATTTACTTCACACTGACAATAATGATTTGCTTTATTCCAAACAGCTTGGAATTCTCAGCATAAAAACTAAGGGAGGGCTGTGAGGACTCCCCAGTGACAAAAACTACACTCTCGAGACCACTTGATTATGGTCCGTTGCAAGTTTCAACCGGCCGAGGTACAATGGTGAGTCTCCACCCCGGGGTCCAAGCATTCTTGATCGCCTTGAACCTGATGCCAGGTAACAAGCGCTGAAATGCTATTGTCTAGGAGATTGAATGCTAAGTTATTAAACCACATCACCCCCCTCCCGACATAAGCGAGAGCACAACCACACGAAAGGCATTCATCTAACCTAAGAATCCTCCTCCACTATTTTACAGGACAGGTAGTATTTTAATTTTTAACAAGAAAAACAGACAAAAGTCAAAAATGCAACCAGTTCTTACAAAATTTAATTTGATTCTATTGTATTCAACTTAATGTAGCCAGTAATTTTATTAGATTTCGATTTCATATTAGTCACAGGTAAAAATTATGTCGTGTATTTATTTTTCGTGTATTTAATAATTTAACATAATTTTAAAACGATTTAGATGATAAAATTAAATAATTCAATATTATTCTGTAGTTTTGATGTCAGTATAAATTCTACTTTGTTTCGGTGGTTTACCAACTATGCAGGTGGTTGGGATCTGATCCCCGCCCAATGCACGCTTAACCCTCGTCTAGTCTACCAGCCGGTACAGGAAATCCCGAATATAGGAGAGGTTGAGCGTGAGACTAGCTACCTCACTCTATAAAAATAGCATCAGCTATGCTGAAACTCCGCAAAAACGGCTTGAAGACGTATTTTCCACACAGAGAAGGCCAAGAGTGAAGAAGAAAGAAAGGTGAACTCACTTGAAACACATGATTAACTTTAACTAGAAACATCTACAAACCTGGTATTTGAACTCATAACTGTTAAACTGAAGTCTCTTGTTAAATCAACCGATATAATTGCTATCAATCGATGGTGTCAGTGAACACAGAATGTAATCATTAGTCAGAATTATTTTTCGATAAAGAAAGGAAGACGAAATTTGCAGTATAAAATGATATCAGCAGTTTATTTCACAGGTTCTCATCAGCTGCACAACACTACCTGAAATTACAATGGTTATATAAATGATAATAAAACATACTTTAATGTTTAAGTGGTAGTAGAGAAGAGATACTATAAAAATGACGCATCCAAAATGAAAGCAGCACTACAATTTTTAGTTTAAGTTTTCATCATCAATTTATACGCTTTCAAAATTGAAAAGAGGGGGAGGGAGGGGTAACACAGAAAACAGAAAAAATTAATCAACAGAACAGTGTTATTTTCAAGTATTGCTTTTGTAGGGATTTTGTTTGATTGCATGAAGATGAGGCAGTAACTCATCGAAGAAGACATTGCGAAATGGTCGCGCTATGTCGTGAATTGGCAGAAGTTAGAATTCAAGGACCATTGGATGGGGTCCCAGTTGGTCAATGGTCTACGAGCTCGCCTTGTAACCAGAAGGTCCTGGGTTCGAATCCCGGTGGGTGCGTACTGTGAAGAGTCCCAAACTAGGACGAAACAGCTGTCCAGTACTTCCTGCAGGTTATCCGGTGGTTCTCTAACTGATGTCAGCTCATGATGAAATCCTCCATGCAATAGAACAGTGTTAGCAACTCCAGAAAACAAAAGTGGTTACAGTTTATGAGATTAAGATTTGTTCAGTGAGTTGAGATCACTGAATTAGATGACTAATTAATGTAATCAAAATCATCTGATTCAGTGATCTCAACTCACTGAACAAATCTTAATCTCATAAACTGTAACCGCTTTTGTTTTTTGGAGTTGCTATGTGAACCTACAAGCTAACACTGTTTCTGTTAATCAACTTTTCTGTTTTCTGTCTTACCTCTCCCCCCTCTTTTCAACTTTGAAAGTGTATAAATTGATGATGAAAACTTTAACTAAAAATTGTAATGGTTTCATTCTTTTTTGGATGCGTCATTTTTATAGTATCTCTTCTCTATAACCACTCAAACATTAAAGTGTGTTATTATCATCTATGTAACCATTGTAATTTCAGGTAGGGGTGTGCAGCTGATGAGGACCTGTGAAACAGACTGTTGATATCATTTTATACTGCAAATTTCGTCTTCCTTTCTTTATCGAAATTAATCAAGGGAACCAAATGTATGAAGAATTATTTTTTTTAGTAAATAAATTCAATAATTCATAGTTATTTCAATTTGTAATCAAGAAAAACTTACCGTTTTTGTAATTTTTCATCAGAATTGTCAGCTACATATGTGCGTAGTTCATAGTCTACCCCACATGGCTAAAAAAAACAATAGACACACATCCAATATGTTACATATAAATGATAGGTAAATATATTATAATATAATAATAACAAATGCAATGGTAGTGATGAGTAATAATCTTTTTTTTTAAAGAACTACTCCATTGCTTGCTAGTAATTGACTATGAGATGAACATCCAGGATTTCTTCTGAGATGCTGTGACAGATCTGGTACATAAAGTCGGCTGTAAAAACAAATAACCACCTATGACAATCGATAGCAACACTGCTAAACATCATAAATTAGCAGAAGTTAAAATTATATGAACCCGTGGTTACCATTTCAGCGACTCAATCCTAGCGTGTTTGCCTCATAACCTGAAGGTCTTAGATTCCATCTCTGTTAGTGTCATCGGTGCGTTTTGCTGAACAGATAACCAGCACTTCCTGGTTATCGTTAGTCCCACACAAATCTTACAAGACTGGAAATTCAAGCTCAAAAATCTTTAAATTATTATTGATTCATAGCGCACTCCAAGAATGAATGAATGACTCGTGATTCTGCACCAAGTTATGAGTCAATAGACATAAAAATGGCCGACAAAATGTATACTGGTAAGCATTTCTGAAAGTTGGAGGATTTCATCATGAGCTGACATCAGTTAGAGAACCAACGGGAAACCAGCTAGGAGTAATGGACAACCAGTTGTTTCGTCGGCTTAGTTTTTGGAACTCTTCATCAGTGCACACCCACCGACAGTGTTCAAACACAGAACCTTCTGGTTACAAGGTGAGCCAGCTCTTAGACGATTAAGCCACTGGGACCCGGTCCAATATCCAGCCCATGAATTCTAACTTCTTCCAATTCATGACATAGCACGACCACTTCGCAATGTCTACTCCGATGAGTTACTGCCTCACTTTCAACCTGTTGCGGCACCCTACTGGTCACAGCTTCCCCCCCTAGAACCCCAGGTTAACTGCCTAAATAGCGCCAGTCACTAGTGAGCATCAGAATAATTGTCAAGTATTGGTTTTGTGGAGAATTTAGTTCGATTGGTTTGATGAAATCCTCCAACTAATCACTGCCAATGAGGCATACTTATTCTAAGGGGACTGATGATACTACCTTTGGTAGGCAGAGTAATTCATTAAACCCGTAATCCCAATTGATTGGAAGTCGGCCGCCTAAACCAATGTGCCACAGTTTCACAATAAAAACTAAACATACTTTCTGTGAAAATAAGTTAATCTCACATTGTGTCTTCGTGCGTCAGTGGCTCAGTATTATAACACTCACCAACCACCCAGGTGGTACGTGGTACGATCCCCAGCTGACGCACTCCTGTACCTCCCTAAGCTGGTAGTAAGACGGGTGAAGAGTAGAGGTTGGGCATGACGCTAGCAACCCCACTCCGTAAAAATAAAACCAACACTACGGAAACTGCAAAGCCCTAGCTTGAAGTCCTGTGTTCCATTGGGAACATAAAGGAGTATAAAAAGAAAATGTCAATAGTAATACTAACTACTCACAAGTCTTACTTCCGATTAGTTGCCTTCTGTCTGTAAAATCTATCTTTGTAATAAATAAGAACAAAACAGTACGGCATTTCAAATCTCTATACTTCGTAAAAGTAAACATAAACGTAGAGAAAAGAATTATAATAAGCAGAGATGTTAGGGGAGAAGAAATGATTGCATGAAGAAGAAGAAGAAGAGTGTGATTCTAACGGATCTGAATCCAAAAAACTCTGAGAGATTACACTTTGAGCCTAATAACCAACATTCTCCAACCAAAGGGTTTGCTGGCATCTTAAGGATCCTAGCTAGGTAGTCTACACTTCCCTATGTGGCTGAAAATAACCATCGGAGATATAATGATGACTACCCTTAACTCTTTTCAAACCTAATGTTATTTTACAAGCCATTGTCAACTTAGATTGATTTCAACACCGAAAAAGTATTTCAAAATAGGATAGATCAAGTAAATCTAAATTATTGCTTACCTTGCCATTTTCATTTGGTCCTGGTTGAAGTGTAACTGAAGCCGGTGCATCTGGAGGAAGCTTGGAAATAAAAAGAACAACATATAGTTGTATAACAAGTCAACAAATAATGCAGTCAGATATGCTTTGTTTTCGCCCTAGGAGACAAAAGAAGTTGTGGTTCAAGACACCTTCCGACCCCCGGACCAAATTGACTCATGAACAGTTTCAATGAATTGGAAGATACATTGTGTTACAAAAAATCAAATGAAACATCTATCTCTGAGGCACTGAAATAGTATTTATTGATTACTTTCAGATTACTTTGTTCACTGTAATGTATTTTTTATTTTCTACCTTACGTTTTAAGGCAGTATGAAAACTAATTAGTGAACAATCTTTATTATTTTTTTTCAAAATTAATTTTGTTATGTGAAAATTTTGACCTATATATCACAGAGACTAAACACTGATACTCATGAATAGTTTTGTTTTTGAACATCTACTGCATATCTGATAATGATTATTTTGAAGTGAGTATACTCCTGTTTCTTTCATATTATGCGCTTTTAAGAAATATTGTGACTAACTGACTGACTGACTGACCGACTGGTTTCAGCATAGAACTTTGCCTAGAAGTGAAGCACTTCGAGTTGCCACACTCTGTGTAACAGTAACATGGAAAAACAATAAAGTTTTAATTAAGAAAGGTAGATCATAGAGAGCGAATGAAACTAAGCCACTGGAATCAACTTTGAATCAAATCAACTTTCTCCAGCCAATGGTTTCTAGAATTCTGAAGATCTCAACCAGGCAGTCTACACTTACCTACATGGTCCAAACTAACTGTTAAGGAAGAAGTATTATTGTACGAAGTGATGAGCTTCTTGTAAGATTCTAAGCTAATGCATCCGACTGTCTACTAATTCCTGTCTTTTTCTCCTTCACGTTCCCCAGTGGAACATAGGGCTTCAAGCTAGTGGCCTGAAGTTTCTGTAGCAGTGTTTATTTTACAGGGTGGGTTTGCTAGCCTCATGCCCAACCTTTCCTCTTCACCAGCATTATTTCTGGCTTAGCGAGGTAAAGGAGTGCGTCTGTGGCCGGGGATCTAACCCCGGACCATGTGCATGGTTGGCGAGCGTCCTAACCACTATGCCACCGACGCTAATTCCCGTTTCACTGGTTGATTATAGGACGTACTGTGTGATGCTTGACAATACTACACAGCTGCCAAGGAAACAAGATTTGAACCCATGACACATTGACTGAAAGCTGAGTGTTTCAACTAATATACCACATCTTCGCTAAAATTTACGACATTTATGATAATTATAAGGTGACTGTCAATGAGTAGCATTCATTTCTTTTACATTTTGAGGTGCTTTTAACTCACAAAACAGTAACTGCATGTATTTCTACTGAATTTTTCAAGTTTAACTAGAATAAAAATATGCATGAAAACCATTTAGCCATTAAGTTTCCGATATCATAAATAATTCTGTTTTACAAAACTGTCCTTAAATTTCAGGAAGATGCAACATGTATAGTAATGCAATAATCCAAGTCACAATGAAGGAACATTCAAAACACGAAAACTTCGCTACATATTTTAATACCTAGATTAACCCACACTAATATATTCGAAGACGTAAAATAGAAAAGTATTAGAAGAAAAGTTTCAGTAAGAGTTGAGCAGATCAACTATTATAGAAAACAGCAGGGAAAGGATGCTTTTTTAGAAGGGATTATAACGTTGACAAGCATCATACGTCCATGAATCTGAATGTACTTTGTTTCTACTTTCAGAGTGCTGAGTAACTTCCTTTGTGAATGAGTAATTCATGTGTTATTAGTATAAATATATATATATATTATAATTCTGAGGAAAATGCGATTGAAAGACTTACTTTAAAATAGAATGGAAATGCATTGGAACCCAACTTTTTGATTAAACGTTCCTGTAGTCTGGTTAATGGGAGAGTACCAGATTGTGAGGCACCTCCTGACTCTTCACCACCTTCCAAATCAGAATTATTGTTTGAAGAAGACCGTGGAGCTCCACATGCGGTTGTACTTGCAGGATTTAAAAGAACTTTTCCAGATTCACCATTTTCAGAGGCATAAACTGGAGGGTAAACTTGAGCCGAAGAAAGATATAGGTCTTTCCGAAACGTTAGCCCAAGAACATCAAGATCCTCTCGACCATAACGAAATGCTGATAATACATGAGTATAGACCTTCCGTCCTTTGACATATTCTGGGTCAACCAGGACAACACCCTCTTAAAAATAAAATAAAGTGAACTGCTTTAAGGAAAAACATAATGTATTAAGAGAAGGAACATCTTATGTGAAAACAATTAAGTAAAAATAATATTCTAAAAGTGATGCATAGGTCATTTTAAGTGATCGGAAAACTGCGCTATTCTCTCTTCTTTACTGTCCACTAATGGTTAAACTATGTATTGATTGGCGTGCAAGTTGTTAAGATGTTACAATCAACATAAGCAAACAAAAGATGAGATTGGTTCAAGGGTTTGAAATATTCCCATGTCATGAATACAGGATGTTCTAAGCGAAAATGAAAATCCAGAAGAGTTTGTAGAAGCCAACATAGGTTATAACAGTTGCAAATACGAACTGACAACGGTGGAGGGAAAGTCATTTGTAGTCTATAATTGAAGGAAGATAATCCTAAAGATGAGATTTTATATCAGTATTTAACCAGAGTGTACATCTGCTCCCACCTCTCAGTAGCCGTCCAGTGTTCACTCCGAACTGAAAGACGTCTTACTTAATCTTAGCTCTTCCTCATGCCTATACCATCTCAACTGCTCCTCTGGTTCAAGATACAAAGGGCGTGCTATTAGGCAGGTTCATCTACGCATTCAAAAACGTTTACCAGCTTGGTTCAGTAAATTTGAAATTAAATGAATGAAAACTACATTTCTGACACATTTGGTGAATACAGAACATCACATTGATACGAACGTAGCCTTAAAGTCTATATGTCACATTCAAACCATCGTCACATGCAGTCCGTGTGCATCTTCTACATACCTGAACTTTATATTCAAAAAGATCACGTTCAGGAGCTATTCGTACTGTGGCCAGAATTGGATTAAAAATCCCTCCACTACAAGAGTGGAGGAACAGTTTTAGCTATAATGTTTTATTATGTATACCCTTCATCCTAACATTCTTTCAATTGATTAAGTCACAAGAATCGCAGATGTTTTTGAGTGTGTTTAAGCTTATGTCTCAGTCGTTTTACCTATCTTTCGAAAGATACTGCCACTAAAGAAAACTCCCGATAAAGCAAATACTGAGTAAAGTTTTACAACTGCTCTACATCTTTCTACGACAGGAGTTCTCCAAGCTAAGATGGGCTCATTAAAACTAACTGTGATAATGGAAATGCCTGTAGTACATAAAAATTACTGTTCCTAATAAGCACATGAATCGACAAAAACTGCTTCCCTGATGCAGATTATCTCGGTCTGTCCATAATCACACATACATACTGTTAAGCATCATACACCTGAAAACTTCTTTACACCATCTTGAGCTTAATACAAATCTCTGAGTGCTAATAAGAAATTTGATAGTGACAAGTGGAAAGTAAAAGCCCGAATAAAAATAATTTAGCAAAATATAAAAAGGCGCAAACTCATATAGACAAATAAATCAACATACCAATAGGATCGACGTGTGCTAGACTGTCTATAAAGTCTCTCTTACACAAGTATGTTGTAATCTAGAAAATAATTTTATGAATGATACAAATTACTTTTCCGTTTGGACTGCTTTTCTTAAAAACCCTACATATTTAAAGGTTATACGAAGAAGTGAAAGCTAACCTTGTACCCTGTTTTCTTTGTGGATTATTCCCACTGTCATCCATAATATCATAATGCAATCCAGAGGCCTGACAAAAACTATGTCACACAAATAACGAAGACACCGACAGAGGTCAAAAAAGCGCTCTTCTTTCATTCATTGCATTGAACCTTGCAGAAAATCACTGGTGTAGCAAAACAAAAGTTATGATAGAAGCATAATATTGCAACAGAGTTTTGTGTGCATTAAAAGGTGAAAGCTCACGATTATTCTGAACGGATATTTCTATATGTTTTCACATCTTTATGACGTGGAAAATGTAATCAAGTCATTTTTGTTTCTTTGTCTAATGTTCAATGGTTTTGTTGCGAGTTACTGCAGATCTGCTTAGTTTCAAGTACTTAAACGCAATGAAAGCTTCTACAAGCCTATAGTTACTTCCATTTCAGCGTATTGAGTGTCTTATCTGTTAAGCCTGATGAGATGTGGGCATTTTCACTATTCAGTGACTGAAAATAAGTTTACAACAATAGCGCCATTGTGAAAACCGTTCCACAAATCTTTGAGAATTATTTGTGAAAAATTAGTTGTAGGCAAACGAAAGTGGGTGAATTAACAGCTTGAATAAGTGAACTATATAGAATAGTCAAGTTTACTCAGAAAACCCGGATGGTATCTTCATCGCATAACCGTGACTGACACGTGAAATCAACGACAGTAAAGTTGACTTACAAAACCCCTCAGAAGGCAGGCTGAATGAACCACAGGGGCAGAGAAATAATCGACTGTCACAAAAAAATCTCGGGCTTCACACAGCCAAGTTTTTATCGAACTCGAGAGTGGATCATGAGAACTTATCCATCGAAGACTAAAATGCAGGGGAAAAGACATGAACATCACAGCAAAATATTACAGCCCTGATAGGGTGACAGACAACCACGTCAGTGAAGGATCCAGCTGACTGATGCTTCGTACAATCTGTGGTACGCCCCTATAATGCCTCCTTAAGCCGGTTGAAAATATTTCAAGACACCATTCTCATACAACCCCTGTGAGCAAAAGCCAGTAGAATCTTCTACTTAACTGGTTTCAGTCCTGTATCGCAATGCACTGTGATTCTCAGCACTCCTGTTTAGCCTTCGAAATGGTCTTCTCCCACAGTTAGGACGTGGACTTCATGCGGCTCATGCAGGCATATGGATATGTATAAATGTCTCTCTGCAGCCTAATGAAAGAAGTGGACCCTAGGTCTGGAAGTTGATAGTGAAGCTGCCTAAAGTCTTTTTAAGAAAAGCGTTTGAAGTATTTAAGCTCATTGGTCAGGCCTAAGTGTGGCTTGGCATCCGCTGGTTCCGCGTTGCATGAACACCCTGAATAACAATGTGTCAATACCTTGCTCAACCTCGCCTAGATTACTAGGTCACTAGTATTCTAGCCGGTCCCAAGCCCGGATAAAGAGGGAGGGTTGGGGCGTGGTGCTAGCAACTCCACCCCCAAAACTTAACCAAATTGCTACTAAAACTTCAACGCACAAATATATTCAAAATTCTAAAATTACAAATAGTGACCTTATTTTTCGCTGGAATCGGGGAAGTGAAATGACGCGGGCTGGTGAAAGCCTTCGGGAAGCCAGTCAGCCGATGTGCCTTCTTTCGATGAAAGCGAAAATAAGGATGGGGACGTGGAATGTTCGTACAATGTACGAAGCTGGGAAGGCTGCTCAGGTAGCCGCAGAAATGAGGAGATATAGAATAGAAGTGTTGGGAATCTGCGAGAGCAGATGGAACGGATGTGGAAGGAGCCAACTATCAACTGGAGAGACAATAATCTACTCCGGTCACCCAGAGGACAATCACGAGCACACCGAGGGAGCAGCCATCATGATGTCACCAACAGCAGCTAAAGCTCTCATGCAGTGGGAACCAATCTCCTCCAGGATAATGACAGCCAGGTTCAACTCAAAAGGAAAGAAGGTTACAATCATTCAGTGCTACGCGCCTACAAACGTCTCAGAAAAAGAGAAGAAGGAGGATTTCTACAGTCAACTACAAACAGTAATGGACAACGTCCCAAAGAGCGATATCAAAATCCTGATGGGCGACATGAATGCGAAACTGGGAGGAGACAATACAGGAAGAGAACTCACCATGGGTCGTGAGGCCCTCGGTGAAATGAACGAAAATGGTGAACTCTTCTCAGACTTCTGCGCCTTCAATGATTTGGTGATTGGTGGCAGTGTGTTCAAACACAGGGATATACACAAGGCAACATGGATTTCACCAGATGGACACACCAAAAACCAGATAGACTTCATTTCAATCTCAAGGAAGTGGAGACGGAGCCTACTGGACACAAGATCGAGGAGAGGAGCAGATGTGGGTTCAGACCACTATCTGGTACAAGGGACTTTCAAGGTGAAGCTGAAAGCCTCGAGGATACCTGGGGATAGGCCACAATGCAAGTTCAACACTCACAAACTGAAAGACACAATCACACAGGACATTTTCACTGCAACTGTCAGAGCAAAGCAGGAAACACTACGTGGCACCACTGAGGAATCACCCGTGGAAGACCATTGGAACTCTCTGAAGGTAATTTTCAACGAAACGTGCTCAACGGTTTTAGGAAGAAAGAAGAAACAAGACAAGGAATGGCTCTCAACAGACACTTGGAAACTAATAGAGGAGAGGAGAAAAGTGAAAGAGAAAATGATTCAATGCAAAGATGGACAAGAGAAAGAGACGCTGAACTCAACTTACACAGCACTGGACAAAGAAGTGAAGAAGAGTGCCAGGAAGGACAAAAGACAATTCTACGACAACCTGGCTACTGAAGCTGAGAAGGCAGCAGGCAAAAGGGACCTGAGGACACTATATCAGATAACCAAGTCTCTATCCGGGAAGAGATCAACACAAGTGAAACCTATAAAAGACAGCCAAGGGAACCCAATTACCAAAGAAGAAAGACAGATTAAACAATGGGCGGACCACTTCAAAGGACTCTTGAACCGACCACCACCTACAACCCGTCCAGTAATACCAACAACAGCACGTACACAACTGCAAGTTGACACCAATCCTCCAACGAAAACTGAAGTCATGAATGCAATCAAGCTTCTGAAAGCTGGAAAAGCAGCTGGACCAGATGGAATACCCCCGGAAGCACTGAAAGCGGAGCCAGAAACGACGGCAGATATGCTGACTCCATTATTGCAAAAGATCTGGAAAGAGGGAAAGGTGCCTACTGACTGGAGGAAAGGTTACCTGGTGAAACTACCAAAGAAGGGCGACCTGGGACTCTGCAAGAACTGGCGAGGAATCATGCTCCTGTCGACGCCAAGTAAAATCCTGAGTCGCATCATCCTGGAGAGAATCAAGGACGCGCTGGATACAGAACTCCGACCAGAACAAGCTGGATTCAGGAAAGGCAAATCATGTTCTGACCAAATTGCAACTCTACGCATTATCATCGAACAAAGCATGGAATGGCAATCAAATCTCTACCTCAACTTCATAGACTTTGAGAAGGCCTTCGACAGCGTTGACCACGAAGTAATTTGGAAACTACTCGAGTACTACGGCGTACGCCAAATATTCATCAACCTTATTCAACAACTGTACGACAACGGCACATGTCAAGTGATCCACAACGGAAAACTCAGCGAAGCGTTTAGAGTAAACACAGGAGTCAGACAAGGGTGCTTATTATCACCAATGATATTCCTAATTGTGGTGGACTGGATTATGCGTCAGACAGTGGGAAACGAGAAGACAGGGATATCCTGGACCGACGTGAAGAACCTAGAAGACCTGGATTTCGCGCGTGGATGATTTATGTTTGATGTCACACAAAATCGAAGACTTACAAGCGAAAACCGACAAACTGGTCGAAGAAGCAGCCAGAGAAGACAGGACTCTAGGTGAACATAGACAAGACGGAGGTTATGAAAATAACCAACCAACAACAACAACAACAACGCAGCAACATCCAGCGCCAATCACCATCAACGGGAAGGATTTGAAAGAGGTTACTTCATTCACTTATCTAGGGAGCATTGTCTCAACCACAGGAGGAACGGACGAGGATGTCAAATCGAGAATCGGGGAGGCGAGAAACACATTCATCAACCTGAAACCAATCTGGAAATCTTCGTCACTCACCATCAACAACAAAATTCGGATTTTCAATACAAACGTGAAGTCAATTTTGCTTTACGGATCAGAAACTTGGCGGGTCACAAAGAATATTTCCAACAGCCTGTTGCAGACCTTTATCAACAACTGTCTTCGCTCCATACTGAAGATTAGATGGCCAGAAAGAATCACAAACAAGAAGCTATGGGAACAAACGAAACAGGAACCAATCGCCCAACAAATGTGCAGGAGAAAGTGGAGATGGATTGGACACTCGCTGAGGAGGCCGTCGAGTGACATCGCGCGTCAAGCCCTCGAGTGGAACCCGAAAGGGAAGCGGCGAGTGGGACGTCCAAGGGTGACATGGAGGAGATCGTGTGAGGAGGAGATGAAACAGTATGGAATAACATGGACGCAAGTGAAAAGAACAGCAGAAGACAGAAGCAAGTGAAGACGTGCAGTTGAAGCCCTATGTTCCACTAGGAACCCAAGGGAACAATAATAATAATAACAATACCTTGCTCACCTGTGTCTATCGAGTTACGATCTCCTTTTAATGAATGCGCGGTACGTTCAACGTTTGCGTTACATTTTTGCGTGATTCGTTACATAAAATTTATCTTGTTGTAATCCTTGCACAAGTACTATACTACTCCCATACCTGCTACCATTAGCTCTCATATCAAATAGTTATGGTCAATCGAAGTAAAAAGCAACGAACCCAATCCCCTGTAAATCTGGTGACTAATTTTACGTCTTTGATTGCTACATCAAGCAACACACTCCCTACAAACGGTTATAGTGAGCCACATAACTCACTTGTATGTCGTAAGCGTCGAGCTGGAACTGGGGAAAAAACTGTATTGCCAGATAGTATAAGCACTACTCCTAAAAATTCAGTACCCTCTGTTTGCTTATCAGGAAACTCCAGCCATCAAGCTCTGTTTCAGTACTATCTTCAGAAATAGAACTTCTATAGGAGAATTTAAGGCTGAGTTTTGGGGAAATTAAAAACAACAAGTCAGCAAATGCTGGAAATTCTGAAACCAGTACCAAGA